TTGTCTAATTAAGGGCTCTGCTATATCTATTTCTATCTATAGTTACCCACCAATTGCCATACCTAAGATCTGCTTGTAGATTCTCTATTTAAACCCTCTGATCAACTTAGCGCTGTCGGATACTTTTCCTGGAAGAGTACCTGCTGCTAAGACCCCTTAGGACTACTTTATCCTTGTAATAAACCTACCAGAGTAGTCCATGCCCCATACATATATCACCTGGATTTTTGGTACTTACGCTCCAATCCGAGGACTGGAACTTGCAATCTTCTGCATCACTACCATATCTACTTCTTGCCTTTACAAGATTCATTCCGATCCTGATATCCAGCCCTTATACCGATCTCTTTCCAACTACCAAACTAGTTAGCTCAGAAGGGTTGTTGTACCTAGGCTCTAAGTGCCTTCTGGTTTTACTTCCCTTGGTTCCGAATTCTGTAGCATCAGACCTTTTCCTCTGATGCGACTCTAGCGATCAGATTGGTAGACCCTTCTTGTCTCAGAGTTGTTCGTCCGATTCTTTGGTCTCCAGTTCCGATTTTCTGTAGTATCGTCGAAGATCTTTACTACTTCTAGCTTGGGTCTTGACAAATGGGTTTCAAATATTCTGGTTTTTTTGGATTTGAATCACCCTAAAGCTTCTATAACGAGATGGTGATACCAAGGTTACAGGTAATATACCCAACCGATTGTCAAATAAATATTACTGGAACACAGGTCTATTTTTCGAAAAATGTCTCCGGTGAGAATCGAACTCTAGATCTGCTGCTTGGGAGATGACAAATTTATCATATTTTTTTAAGATAGCTTTAGAGCTTTTTAGATATTTAAAGTCAAAATTGATTAAATTGAGAGTATTTTATAAAATAGTATAACTTATTGCAATATATACTTGATCTTTAGCAAATATTATCTTGTCTATACTTGTAATAATATAAGATAAGGTTGGTTCTTATACTTTTGAGTAGTTAAAACAAAAATATTTTAAATAAAAATTATTTTCTTTTGGTTAATATAGAAATATAAAGTTTTTTTTTGAACTACCGTAAAAACTTGAAATAACGAGCATCTGTGTATTATTTTGACCACCTGCGTGTTATTTCAAATATGTCTATAGGCGTTATTTTGAATCAAGTATCTAGTTTTAAAATCTCTAAAATTTTTTCTTAATAGTTTATAAAGGCTTCCATAGTGGGGTGCACATTATTTCACAATATGCATAGGATGTTATTTTGAAAGTATATATGTTGTTTTTAGGAATCGTGATTTTCAAATTAACGCTCATGTTCGTTATTTCAAGTTTTTATAGTATAACTTTTAAAATATTAGAAAAAATTAATAAAATTATTTTAATAATATTATTATTAGTAAGTTTTGTTACAACTCTGATAGATCAATTGCATATATCATTATTAAATAATTTATTATTTAGAAATATAATATAAGCTTATTCTTGAAAATAAAATATTTGAATTGAAAATAATTGTGATTATAAAATAATATATTTAATATTATAGAATTGAGTAAAATTGTTAATATTAATATTTAATTATATTATAGTAATTGATTTAATAAAAAATATACTAATATAAAATTCTAAATTGTTCTATTATTTTTGTAAAATAGTTAAGAAAAGAAAAAGAAAAAAACTAGACAAAAATCTAAAATATATATTTTAAATTAATATAAGTAGTTAGGCTAGATTGTTTACTACTAAAATAGATATATTTTCTAATATAAAGTTGTAAATTTTTGTAAAAATGTTATTAATAAATATAAAAAAATTATTATCTACTATTAAATTTTTCTATTATAATAATTTTAATTATTTTTAAATTAGTTTTATTTTTATTAATAAAATAAATTAAGCTTTTATAATAATTATTATAAAATTAAATTTTTAATATAAAATATATAATTTTTTACTTATATTGAAAGTAGCTATATTAGTAGATATTATGAGTAGTTAATTTAAGTTTTTTGATTATAAATAAAATAAAAGTTAATATAATAAATACTTTTTTTTATTTTAGCAAATTTAATAAAAAAGAAATAAAGATATTTTTTAGTAAAAATTTTTCAAATATTATATAAAGTAAAATAAACTATATATTAGTTAGTATTAAAAAATAAAAATAAATAAAAAGCAAGTTAAGAACAATATTTTTTAATAATAAAAATTGATTTAAAATTAAATTAAATAAATTGTAGTTTTTAAATTTTTGTAGAAAGAAGTTAATATAATAATATAAAAATATGATAAATAAGTTTTTTGATATAAGTATCTATTTCTTGAGCTTTAATTTCTTGTTAGAATTTTAGCAAAAAGCAATAGCAAATTAGTTTTTATAAGTATTAAAGCTATTAAGCAAATTTTGTTCTAATCTAGCAAAAAAAATTAAAAAAAATAATATTAGAAATAAAAAAATTTTTTATTATCTATTTTGTAAAAAATAAATCTTAAAAATATAATTAGTTTTTTTGAATAATTACTCTAATTTTATAATCTTTAGAGTAAAATAGATATAAATTTTAGTTGAATTATCTAAATCTAATAGTATAATATTAAAAGTAGTTAGGATATATGATTGTATTAAAAATTTTATAATTAAAATAATTAAAATATTTATCAATAATATTGTTTTAATAAAGTAAAATTTTATTTATATCTGTATCTAAATATAGCAAAAAAAACTTTTTAATATATTTTAATATATTAATTAAATATTATAATTATAATTGAGAGTGTGGTAACTTAGTGAAGTGGTTTAGTTGTTACACTCCCAAGTGATATATTAGCTAGATAAGGGGTTCAAAACCCACTGGCAATGAATTTCGAAAATTCTATCTGTTATAGCTACTGTTGTTCATCAATCAATCGGTTAGAAGATCTCTATAATCTTGGTAGTACTAACAAGATTAGGAGATTATAGGGCATTTGTGTAATATATGAGTTACATAAATAAGCTTTCAGATCATATTAATCCAAGAAACTGAGAAGAACAATAGATGCTCACTTGGCAAGACCCGAGTAGAGAGGTAGTACAGATCTTTGACAGTACTATATAAAGGATCATTATCAGGAGAACTAGCAAAACTAAACAGGACTAAAGTATTTAGCATAGCACTCTACCAAACAGGCTATCAGAAAAAACCAGAGGAAAAGGATCTAACTATAAGAACTAGGGCAAGTCATAGCCCTTCCAGACTATCTGAATTGGTAGTTTGGGATTGTTGAGATTAAAACTAGTAATAGTTTGTAAAGTATATACTAGGATCTGAATGAACTCTATAAGGGCAGAAGTAGGTAATGGTAGTGGCTTTGGCATTCAAATACATGGTTTTGCATTATTGTGATACAATATCATATCTCTGATAGTCGATCTATTTTTTTTTTTAAATTTAAAAAACTTCAGGCAGAATACAATTAGTATAAAGGTGAGAATTAACTGTACAATTTTGTTTAACTACAATTCATGCTACAACCCTCTCAATTATATAAAATATGCAAAACATTCTTTTTTTTAGAATTTTTGGCTATATGAACAATTTGTGGCCTATTTTCATCCCTTTTCAACCAAACCTTATTACCTTCTTTGCTGGAAATTGTAAAAAAATATATCTACGTTTCATTCCCAGTGATAATATTTGCAAATTCTTTTTCAAGAATTTTTAAAAGCTGTTTAGAAACTGTAACCCATTCTTTTTTTGATCTGCAGTAAATTTGTGAGGAACCTATTTTGCACACAACTTACTCATATTTAATTTATTATGTAAAATAAAACTAACCTATTTATAAGAAATACCAATCTTATATACTAACTTACAGATAATAATATGTAGATTATTATTAATAAGTTCTTTGATTTTATTAATAGTAATTGTTGTTACTGCTTTGCAAGAATGTCCAAATTGAGACTTATTTTTGACGTCTTTCTCTCCATTATTAAATGAGGCAATCCAGCATCTAATTGTATGAATTGATAGTGCTTGGCCACCTTCAGCATTCACCAACTCTTGATAGATCTGAGATGCTTCCTTGTTATTTTTCCAGACAACAAAAATTAGATACCATTGATTTTTATAGCTCATTTTGTCCAATTATCTTGAAACTATAAAAAAGATTAATTATTGCTTAGCGATTAACATATATAATAACTAAAAAAATTTATCATGTAAAATCTATGAAAGGATATATTTAATCGTATTATTTCTATTTTAGTCTTAGACTAATAATTTAGATAATACAGATCAATGGTCAAAACTTTTCAATCACCTATGTATATTTGCTCAGTATCACTAATCACTTGTAAATACTCTCATGTAATTAATATGTTGAAGTAATTGTGAGATGTCAGATCCAAATATTAAATAGTATCTTTTGCTTTATCTAGTAATTAAGACTTTAATAAAAGAACCTCAACAAGATAGCCAAAGTGAAAAACTATATATATATATTCTTAATATTATTATACCAACACTTATCTAATTAAATTTGATCAAAATATTTTTTATTTAAATTCAATAAGTTTATATAATTAAAATAAAAAAAATTTAATTGAATTTGTTTAGATAAGTACTAAGTAATTTTCATTTATAGTTGAATACTTATAAAAAAAACAACAATCAAATTTTTTTAATAAATATTTTTTAATTACCAGCTATTTAAATTCAGTCAAAAATTTTATTTTTATTTTTATTTTTTATTTTTTCAGTGATTCTGTTTTTATTATTTAAATCAGAAGTATCAAAATTTTATATTTTCATTAAATATAAATTTTCTATACTATATTTCTGTACTAATAAAAACTTACTCAACTATAAAAGCCCAGATACAACCTGTCTAAGCAGCAATTTACCTTATATTAGATTCTCAACTTACTAAGGATTTAATCTTTCTAATCTTTGGTTAGAAGCTACCAACCTTGTTAGTGATCACCAAATTCTTTTTAATATACTGTAGCTGAGGTTTTGACTTGCAGTTTGATTACAAATATCCTTATTAACTGCTCTATTAGTAAGAATTATATATTTTTCTTTATTAACCATTTTTTCTAATTTATATGTTATTCCTCTTTCATTTTTCTTCTTTTTTTGTAGCTTGTTATATTCTTCTATCTTTGTGGTCTCTTAAAAAGTCTTCTTTTTCTTCTTTTTTTTGATTTGTCTAGCTTAGTTTCTTTTTTTTTCTTCTCTTTTAGACTTGTATTCAGGCTCGAATTCATCTTCTTTGTACCAAAACTTGAATTCATCTTCTCTTTGATGGTCTGGTTTGTCTTCTGTGATCTTGTAACTCTAGTTTGTATATTGCTTCTTTTTGACTTTCTGTTGCTTTGATTTGTATATTTTATTTTCAAGTATATCTCCTTTCTTCTTTAGTTTTGTTATTCTAATCTTCTAAATTGATCAAATACTGTTTTTTCTTTTTCTTTCAATTTGTTTATTTTGCTTTTTTTTTTCTGAAAAGTCTTCTTTTTTATTAAGTTATTGTTACCTCTTGTATATTGTTATTCTGTGTTTCTATCTTTTCTCTAGATGCTTTTTTTTTTTCTTCTTTTTTCAATTTGTTGTTCTTCTCATTCTCTTCAGTAAAGCCTTGGCGCTTTTTTTTGTTTTTTTCTGCCCATTTCTGTCTTTTTAGTATTGAGAGATATATTTGTTTCTTCTTTTTGGATTTCTTTTTCCTTCTATTTCTAGGTTCGTATTTTTTTTGTTTTGCTATATTTTTTTTTGTGCTAAGTTCTAAGTTATTTCAAGTCTTTTTTAAGTTATTGTTGTTTTTCATAATTAGATCTCAGTCTTTTTGTTTTTTTTATAGCTTCTCTAAGACTCTTTGTAAATCCTGTATTTTTATTGTATTTTTTGTATTTAGTATTTTCTTATAAGTTATACTTTGCTTTGCTTTAATTATACTGTGTTGTATTTCTTCATTAATTTTTTTTAAGACTTTCTTCATTTTAATATTTTCTATATTATTCTCTATAATTTTCTTTGTTTCTGTCTTTATCAGCTATTTCTGGTTTTCTTTTTTTCTTCTTGCTAGTTTTTTAGCATTTTCTTTATCTTGAATGTGAATTTTTCAGCTAATTCTTGTATCGTTTTCTTGTTTTCCTTGACTTGTTTGTTTCTTTTCTACTTGTTTAGATTTTCTATACAATATTTTTTTAGTCTTTTCTCATATTGTTCTTTTAGTAGCAGTAAGCAATCCATCATAATATCTAGTGCATAAAGATCTTGTCTTATAATATTTGGCAAAAAGACTCTAATTTTGCTCTTTACAATATAGTTATAACACCTATACTTTAATTTTTCTTTTGTGTCTTTGCTGTATTGTTTTCTATATTTCTGTTTATATTCTTCTAACTCCTCTTTGTCTACTTCTGTTAATGGGTTCTTTAGTGCACATCTTGCTGTTGCTAAAATTTGTTATTCTCATTTATTTCTAGAAATTTCTTTTTCGGTTTGCTTCACTTCTCTATTGTTGTTATTTTTTTTGTTGTATTTATCATATGTTGCTTTATATGTTTGTATTGTTTTCTTTTTGTTATGTGTTGTATAGTTGTATCATATTAATAGATTTGTACTATAAGGTCAAGTGCTTTTCTCAAAAAATTGCTTACAGATGATAAAAAACTGTCATATTTCCAAGTTTTTTTCTATATCTTGATAGTTTTTGATTTCTTAACTCTAGTCTCCTAAGAGACAGAGTGTTGTTTTATGTCTTCTTTCTTTTTACTTAATCATATAAGCTTTGCTTCTTAGTATTGTTTTTGAGTTTTGTTGTTTTTGTGTTTTTGTTTTTTCATAAAATTTGTGTTTTGATGATTGGCAAAAAGAGTTGAGTTGTTAAATAGTAAAAATTTTATTTTAATTCTATATATTTATAAAAGTAAAATAAAAAATTCTTACTAATTTAATCAAGTAGTTATTGAGAAATCATCACTAAAAATTTAAAAACTTTTAAATTTATTAATAGAGATTAATTTTGTTTATTGTGCTCTAAGGCAATGTTGTCATTTGGATAACTTGGACAGTATTCAGACAGAGTTTGTTAGAGTTTGATACTAAATAACTTTGAATAATATATTGTGACCCACCTTCAGTTATTAATTAAAGTTCAGAATTATTTTTTGCATATATGTATGCATTTTTAAAGTAGATTTATAAGTCTGATAAAAAGTTAGACAGTCTGCTAAACACTTCAAAAAGCTTGAACATTGAAAATATATAACACTAATTAAAAAATTTCTTGTAAAACTTTATTATATTTTATGCTTTACTCCAACCCTAACCCTAATAATAGTTAACTTTAATATTGTTATATATGATCTGATCGGTTAATTGCAACTTGGTAACTATTACCACCGGTGACAGCTAGATTATTTCTTTAATTTTATCCAAAAAAAATTTGATGCACTTTTAATTATAGCCTCTAAATGATTCAAATACTATATTTCCCAATATATATATTCAGAGTATTTTCTTAGCCCATTTTAGTACCCGAAATATGCGTGTAGAGAGTATACTGTATGAGTACTTCTATATTTTTGATATGTTTTACTATTACCTGGATATATAAGTATAATACTCCCATATTTATATATCCTAGATATAAATCAAAATTTAGCACTCTAAATTGCAATATAAACCAATTTCGCTAACAACCATTTCACTAATAGCCATTTTGTCAACAAATTTTGACTTGATTTAGTTAAGGTTGGTTTTCTTTATAGTTAGTGTTGACTAGAGATTGTTAGCAAAATAGCTGTTGGCGAAATGATTGTTGGTAAATTCTACCAGAACCCTAAATTGCTGCAGAGTATAGTCCACAGTAGGTATATATGGTATACTATACAATATATAAAATCTTATTAAAAATTAATGTAATTTGATATCTTCATATTTAGAATTTTTGTTACTTCTAGCATTTTATTTTATTGCTAGTGTAAAGAGATCAAAACAAAAATATAATTGTTGCCTGTTACATATAAATATAAATATATAGACACACAAAACTTGCTGATTGATTAATTTTTGTAGATTAATCTGTGATTACCTGTGATAATTAACCACCATCTATTGGGCTATACAATCAGCTTATTAAAAAAAAATATCTAACTGAAGAAATGTTCCTTTTGCATCTTAACAAAAAAAATTTCTTGTAAAATTTTTCTATATGTATTGCTTTTTCTTAATGCTCACCCTTCTGGTATATCAATATAGCGAACTTGATATTAATTGTATAACATGCAATGGTGCTCGAGGAGTGACCATACTTTGTTACACAAACTGCAGATCACTTTCAAAATCCTCTTGCCAATCAAAAATTGAAATCACATGTCGATCAGCCAATCACAGTTGATAAAAAAAATTTTTGTACATTTTTTCATATTTTTGAGAGGCTTGCATAACCTATTTTTGATATGAGATGTGAAATATTTTAAGCAAACTTTAAAGCTTTCGTACTATTTTTTAATAATATCAGTTGAATCCATTTGAATCCAACAACTTTTATATTACATTTTACTTAGCAAAGTTTATATGAGACATATATGAAAATAAGCATTATGCGAAGGTTAAACCATTAGATTATCAAGATTCAGTTTGCTGAACAAAAAAAAAACTGAAAGCAACAATTTATAAAAGGTCAGTATATATTTTGTAGCACTAGAAATTATTTTTATTATATGTTTAGCATCAATATTTAACAATATTTCGGTTAAATATATAAATAATAATATATTATTTTATTAATTTTTTTTTATTACATAATTTTTTAGAATATTACAAAAAATATACTTATATACTTGAGATTTGAGCTGGGCATATTCCTTAGAATGTACATATATATGTATTGTATATACTACGTAGTAAAACAACAGTTGAATTATAAATAAGTTTGGGTTTTAAAATTAGATATAGTTCGAATATAGAAACGAAATAAAGAATTTTTTTGTAAGCAACAGATAATAGTAAGCAACAACAGTTAATAGTTAATTAGACAATTGAATA